TCTATATGTGTCCTGCAACAGACTGAGTGCTAGGTCAACACTACAAGCTGGCTTTATAGGAGAAAGGAAAACTAAAGCAAAGAGAAAACAAGTGCGATTGTTTAAATTGTAAGGAACGACAGAATAAGAGGAAGCATTTGTGATTTAAGATATTTTTAGTCAGATTCCGTGCCTGTGTCTATGATGCCTCACTATTTACTACGTGCCAAATTAAACAATAACTTTCAGGCTTATAGCAGTCCCAGTATATGTGATTATTGCTATCTCAGCTGCAATCAGAGTTTGAATAGTCACCTTAAGGAAAGAAGAAAGCAGCAAATTTTACATTTTAATTGGGCAGAAGTAATATATCAATAAGCTAACACTTCAGCTAGGCTGAATTTGTCTTATCAACTCATTTCTACTTATACCCTATGCCAGTGGAGCAGAAGGTGCTCAATTTTGAAAAAAGGCAGAAGCCCCAGGCACTTTCATTGTTATATATTTACTCCTCACAATTCAATCCTCACAAACCTACAGGGAAGGTAGTCGCATAGCATTTTTCAGATGGAAAAATTGAGACCAGCCTCAGAGCTAGACAAGGGCCAAGGAGAGCTAAGGCAAAGCAGAGGCTCAGTTGTCCCCACGTGATACCTCAGGTATGGATCACTCAAGGTAACAACTGGATCCATAAAGATAGGGGCAAGAGTGAACAGGTGTAGTAAAGGGTTAGTGAAAGAAAACTCTAAAGAAGGCAAGATGGTACAGTGAGAAGAGGGAGCAACTTCACAGCTGGACAAAGGAGCTGAATAACCATGGGTGTCCTAGAACTCTTTGAGTCTTGGTTTTCTTTTATGTAGAAAGGAAGGATAATAATATCTACATCAGAGATTGGTTTTGAAGATGAGATGAAACAATGTATGTAAAACACGTATCCGCATTCTTTTCTTCTTCCCTCTCTTCTTTCTCTCCCCTACTTCATAATTTTGCCCAGGGGTGGTCTTAATTCTAACAGAAGCTAAGAGGAAATCAAAGTTAGTTACAACAAAACTCATGGGAAGGGGAGAAAGATAACGTTAATCACTCTTTTTAGTTATAGAAAGTTAGGCTTTGATATGATTCAAAACCTAATCTGTATTTTATGTCAAAGTTGACAGGACCTTTCGGGGTTGGGCACTCAACTCTGATTTTAGGGACTTCCTGATATTGGAAAAAGAACGTGTGAAATTTCACTTTGCCATTTTCCACAGTGGTGCTTTCAAATGTTTCTCAACAACTAATCTAACCCTTTTGCCAGCACATCATTTGCTTCCCAGGGACTCACAAAATTGAAGCCATATGGGTGTATGTTCTTAAATTTCCCCATTGTCACGACACAATTTTGTATTGACTAATCCTTTTCCTTTCTTTTGTTCAATATTAATGCTTTTATTCCTCTTCATCTCAGCTTTTTGAAGGAAGTGACATCTCATTCATTTTTATAGGTCCAATAGGCCAAGGATAGTGCCATGGACATAGTTTGCACTTAACAAAAGTTGTTGACTAAATAGGTGAACTTGAAGGTTTCAATCCAGTACATTAGTATTTTCAAGGTCTGGGTAGGAGAATTAGCATGTACATGTTCAAATGTCAGGGGAAATAGTCAGGTTTTGGTGACCCACAAATAGGCTTTTGAGAATCCAAAGGGAAGACCTGGAAGGAAACAAAGGCAGTGTTCAAGCCCTAATACTAGATTAGAGAGAAAAACAGAGAAACATGGTAGATGAAGGTCACTTGGGTTGGTGGAGAGAGCCACTGGAGTATGAACTGTCACCCTCTGCCTTTACTTTCTCTGCTTTTTCTTCTGCTTTTGCTTCTCTTTCTCTTTCTCAGTGTGTTTCATAATCAGTATTTTCTGCAAAGAGATGATATGATTAGGCCAGTCATCATCTAATACTGAAGATATTTCCATATCTGGACACCTCAAGATCTAAAGGCCCAGTCATGATGACTCTTCAAGGTTTGACTTTTGAGCCTGGTCTAACTGGTGTGGCCAAGGTACCCAAGACACTCTTAGTGGTAGCCAACGTTGAAGGAACTGTGGCTGATTTCTGAAGGGTACTAGCTAGAATTTTACAGTTGCTATACCTGCATCCTGTATATATCTTTGTGTTGGAATTAAGCTACGTTTGCCAGATTTAGCAAATAAAAATACAGAATTTCCAGTTATATTTGAATTTCAGATATACAACAAATAATATTGGATACAATATTTGGGACATACTCATATGTGCTAAGATGGTGCTTGAGCTGCAGGTGCAGTGTCCACACTCTAGCCACAGAAAAGGGAGAAGAGGCAAAGGGTCTGTCCATCCTGTTCAGGGCACTTTCCTGCCATCACACCGTATACTCAGCCTACTGATGAGAACTTAGTCACACGGCCACATCTAACTAGAAGGAAGGCTGGGAAAGTTGTCTTTATGATGGACAGTCATGTGCTTAGTCAAAAACCTAAGACTCTGTTAGTTAGCAGGAAAGGGTGAGTGGATATGGAGGGTCCACCAGCCATCTGTATTAGAGGTGATGGTGATAAAGGCATATTTTGGAGATCAAACAGAATTGAACTGGTTTGAATATAATGATGCTGATAATGAGTCACAAAAGTAAGAGAGGAATAAGAGATATCCCTAGATTTTTTTTTAGCCACGTTAATTTATAGAATGGAGGTCACATTTAACAAAAATGGAAAACCCAAGAGAAACATATTTAAAATTTATTGTGTGTTTATAATAAAATGATCTAAGTAAGGTACTATACCAATACCACAGGAATATGACACTTGCTAACCAAATCTAGTCGATGGCTGTAGGCTTTCTCTTCCACTTCCCTAAGGCAGCATGATTAACCATAGGTCTTTGCTGTTATTAATGTGATGAAATAATATCTTTAGTATGGTGACTGGAAAATAATAAATGTTCAATAAATAGAGTAAATGCTTAGCATTTTTAACTGTATTTTCAAACAAAAGAGTCATCTAGGAGAGATCGAATGGAAAACAACAGAATAAAGATTGAGACTTCTTGTGAAAATCAGTGAGTGGCTTTCCACAGTGGTTACAGAAATCCATGGCATGGATACCATCCTATAAACTGGCCTGCTGGCCAGGGAGTGATGGAAAACACTCCATTTGCTCTCCGTTAGAGAAGACAGAGTGGCTGTTGGTACCCTGCACTCTTTTGGACTTCCTGGAAAATGGAAGGTACAAAACGAGGAAGGTGAGGCCACAGAAAGACCCTGGAATAGAACATTATGACAAAGATGCTCCTAAACATTAAGCTTCTGGTGCTAGCTAGTAACAAAGCACTAATTCAGTAGCAGAGCTTCTAATTTCATGATCTCAATGCCAGGGTGGCAGGTCAGGGAAGTGGGGTGGTAGAAAGTGGGTGCAGACAAGGTTGTCTAAGAGATGGTTCCTGCCTTTTACGGTAGGAAAATATGATAGGGGTCAAAGGCAGTAACAGAGTGCTAGAAGTGATAATCATGCAGGCCCTTGGGCTCTCTATGCATAGATGACAAGATGATAAGAGGCGGAAGGGGAGTCACAGGCAAGCCTTTATCGGGGCTTATGCTGGCACATAAGGGAGCCGGCACAAAGGATACATACAGGCTTCAGGCTGGCTCCCCAGGGGAATTCAGGGAGAGTTTAAAAGAGGCTTAGGTGGGAAAAAGGTGCCACACTGCCTAGGCAATGTAGAGGTGGAGATTTTCTTGCGCCTGCCATAGTAGTTTTATTATATGCTTCTTCATGCGTTGGATGTGTCATTAGCAAGTTAAATCTCCACCCCTGGGTGGGATTTTTAGCATTAAAGTGAGATTATAATGAGGGAAAAGTCAGGGTAAGATCAGTGTGGGGGTCTATTCTGGCTTGAGGTGGTTGGATCCAGGTAGGTCTGGTTCTTTTGCAGCCAGGTGCTTTATCAGCCTGCGTTTATTTCAGCAGCTCTGAAAAACATTACTCCCAAGGTTATGATGCCCATGTTGCCTTCCGTGATCGGGGGTGAGGCCCTGAGTCCTGTCCCTATTCGGTCTCAGATGTCTGGGGGAGGAAAAATTAATTACAAAAGTAGTTTGGGATAATTACTAGAAGGAAGTGGAATTTGAGCTGGGCTTTGTGAAGTAGGTAAAATTTCAGCATGTAGAGAGGACAATTTTTCAGGCAGAGACAACACGGTAAACAAGTGTGAACAGGCTAAATGTGTAGGACAGAGTGACTCAAGCTCTAGAGTTTACAGAACTGTACTAGCCAGGGGAGTGGTGCAATGGAGACAAATTGCAGGGGGCATCTCTTGGCGGGTGGAAGATTTCCAACTTTATCACAAAAGCAAACATTAAGAGTTTTGAACAAAGTAACAAGCAGGATAGGTCTGTGTTTTAGGGAGGTGGCAATGGGGACGATAGACTGAAAGGGTCAAAGATCAGAGGTGTGGAGACCAATTTTGAACCTGTCTTAGTAGTCCAGAGAAGTCTGGCTCTGTTCCTGGGCTGTGCCCCTCACAGGACTTCTGAAGGATCACAGCCCAGGTCTCAGCATCTCGGGCCTCTGGCACCAGCGTTTGTACACAGTAGGCCGTCAACAAAAACAAACCTGTCAATAAATACGATGCGGGGGGGATGGGTGGGGAAGGGGGTAGAGGTAGCCCACTCCGTTCTGCCGCCAGCCCGGCTCCCTGGGTCCTGCCTGAGAGATCGCCAGTGCCAGAGCGCGAGCACCGTCCCAGTGCTCGTCAGGGACAGGCGGGTCCCTCCTCCCGCCGAGCGCGGCTAAGGGCTGAGGAACCCAAGGGGCTTCCTTCCAACGCAGAAGTGAAATCCCCTTCCTCCAGGCCTCTAGGGGCTGGTGCTCGGGAAATGCTAACCCCTTCCCCCTCCCTCCCCCCTTTGGCCCTTCTTCCTGCCCTAGAAGAACTAGGGCGCTGTTTTCCAGAAGCTGCGGGCCGGAGGCCCTGGTGGAGAAGGGCGGGGCGCGAGGTTGGGGGGCGGGAGGCGGGGAGAGGGGAGTCCACGAACTTTGTGACTCAGCCTCGGCGACCCGCAGTGGCATTCCTGTGTGCGCCGCGGGCAGGCCAGCCTCTCTGGCCCCGGAGGAGGGGGCGCCGCCGAGAGAAGAAGCCGCCGCAGGCTGCAGAGTCGCCGACCGCGCCGCTCGCAGGGAGACCCCGAGCTGCTTACACGGCTTCGCGCGCACCGGAGGGCGGGAGACGGGTCCGCGGGCATGGGCCGCTTCTCGCTGGAGCCGCTCAGCCTCCCCGGCCTGGCCCTGGCCACGGCCCTGCTGCTCCTGGCCCTGTGCCTGCGCGCCCGGCGCACCAGGTAAGCGCCCGACCGCCGGGCCACGCATGCGCCCTGGGCCCCGCGGGCCACGCGCGACCCAGATGGCGAAGGGAGTCCCCTCCATGATTTCCAAGACAGAACTTGCTGCGGGGCACTGGCTTCCTTTGGGGCCATGTGTAATAACAAAGGCTTCCTCTGTCTCTTTCCCATACGCATACATATTAAAGCTTTGGGACCGAATTCGATTTGCTGCTCCAGCATAAGTTGCAATAAGCCCTAGGTCTGCGGTATGCATTATACATCACGCATGGCTTCCGCACACGCACATTTTTGTGCCTTCTTACTGTGTGAGTTGATGCTTTATAGCCTAGAATTCATAGAACATTTCGGGAGGGGAATTTTCTTACATTTCATCAGTTAAAAGAGAAATGTTAAAGCAAATGCCCGTGCGTGGTGTGTACAATAACTCTGGGTGGCTCTCTGGGCCTCAGTTTCCCTCGCTGTACCTCATTTGGAAAAATGAAATGATAATACTTACCTCATCAGATTTTTGTGACTACTAAATGAGTTAATACAGTGTATTTTATGCAGTTGCTCTATTATTTTTATCAGGACAAAACAAAACACACAACAGTAACAAAACCTGGAATTGTGTCACTTATTTATCTGATTTGAAATGTGGAAGCGGAAACAAAAGTTCAAATAAAATCATTTACTGTGAATTTACTCTATTCTTCTTTTCTTTCTGGGTCATTTTTTTCATACTACTGTGATCTTCATGGCTTTTGAAAACCAGATAAGTTTTGTTGGGTGATAATTGCTACTTTATATATATCTATATCTATGTATCTATACACACATATATATCAATATATACATGTATATATGTGTGTGTGATACAGGTTGTTTCTCAATAGCTGTGAGGGAAATGAAACTTTTATACTGATACAAAGTCTGTGGACATTTCTAGAATGCCCATGGATGAATACTCTAGATCAGAGTATTTGCTTTTCTTCCCATGTGAGTTTTCAGAGATCTTCTGGAACATGCACTCTCCCAGGTTGCCATTGGAAAAATGACTGTGCTTTTGCTTTAGAGCCTAAAGTGAGGATTTAGGACACTAAAACTTCGGTTTTATACCATCCTAAGTAGGTTCTTCCTTCTCTATTCGCGATGTCAGTGAAAGCCAGTTAAGATGTGTTTCTAGGTATGTCTTTTAAGAGAGATGGTAGACAAAAAGGCTATTTGTTCTATTCCCGCTTTGCATGCAGGGCAGGAGCAGACAAGCTGACTAGGGCATTCTGGATCGGTGAAGGTAATTGGGGTGAAAATGTGGAACTTGCGAGGACAGTCAGGAAGGCAAAAGGGCCAAGGTAGGCTTTCTCTTCCAGCATTCTGAGAATAGGCTGAACTTTCTCTATATCATTAAAAATTATTTTACTGAGGTATTCATGCCATCAGTTGACAATTTCTCATACCAGGAAGACTCTATTTAATGCTGCAAATCTAAAGAAGTTGTACTGTATTTCAGGGTGTGCAAGATAGCTTTATTTGTCCCA